CAGTGAACGTGTTAATAGTCACTACAAAGCCGTTAGGCTGGTTAGCGGAATCAAATCTTATTTGCCTCATGTTGGAACTTAGAAATGACAAAAACACGTGCCGACTGAGAATGTGTTGTGTGAAAATAGCAGTGATATTAATTGTTCTAAGATGCAAACGAGAGATTTAATTTGAACCTAGTGAAGTTCCACTAAAGCTAGGGTAGACCTGGAAGGACCATTTATGACTTATTAAGCATAATCGATCAAATATAGGCCTGGAAAACCTGGGATTCGAACCCAAGACCTTTAAGTACTGAGTCCAACGCTCTTACACAGAGAAACGGGTACTTCGCCTGTCGGTTGTGATTGGGAATATTAAATATGGTAATGCGGCGCTCATCGACGATAGTCCCGTCATGCCTTTAGCTTTAATCTGCAGCTTTCGAAGGCAGCCACAGAGCGACTAGCATCATATGCAGATAATGGGGTACCAACAAGAACAAAAGAGACTGGAAAGGCCATTCTTGGTTTATTAGCCGTTACCAGTCAGCCATACCCCACCCTGTTGTGAGAGCGCTTTGGCATCGTATGTAAAAATTTGAGTCAAATGTACCGAGAGGTCGTCAAACCGATTATTTCATAAGCTATCTTATTTCACTTTACAAACATGGGCAACATTTTTGAAGAAGTTGATTTGAAGAACCCTAGCTGTAAAGTTGTAAAGAAGAATCCCAGAAAAAGAAACGAATCAACCCTTCGCCTGCTAATTTAAGAACGAAGAAACCCATACATACACTACCCCACGTCATGCAGTTGCTGTCTGGCAAGTCACAGATTGATCGGTCTTTAAGACGACAGGGAGGCCATGCTCCGCGCTGGACTTTCCGATAGTCATCGGCACGGAGAAGAAAAATTTTCTAGTAAAGAACCCATGCGGCTGAACCATTTTGCCTCAACGCAACACTTGAAGGTTAAACAAATAAATAAATTTATATTTTAGGTCCAGAGGGCCTCGTCTTACTGCTCCTGTTCGGTTGCCTCCTTTTTGTTTTTTAAGAGCGCTTGTGATAGATTACACGATCTTTTTAGGGTATTATGATGCCGAATTTCAATTTTCTATGCTCGTAAATTTGTAGTAAAGTATACTTAATACGGCCTGATTAAAGGGAAGTAAGTCAAATATGCGTCATGTATTGGCACGGCATAAGTTGGTACTTTTCGACAGGGATGTTTGTATAAGTTTCAGAGCCGTGAATTGAACACTTTGCTGTTTAATCTGAATGTGCCTTACTTGTCTATAAGCTTCGATTGTGACCGAATTGTAAAGACTCAGTTAGTAACGGACATCCTTATCCTTCCTGCTTGTGTTGTACTGTCCCACGGTCTCTGCAAAACTTGTGTATGTGTTTTCAATGAGGGGTTGCCCCTGGGATTTGGAAAATTACTTATTCTTACAGCCGCTCATTTACTATC